CCCCCTGCAGGAGTCGCGGGGACCAGGCGCCCTGACGCTCCCCCTGCGGGAGTCCCCGGGGACCCAGGAGCCCTGATGCCCCCCCTGCAGGAGTCGCGGGGACCAGGCGCCCTGATGCTCCCCCTGCGGGAGTCGCCGGGGACCCGGGAGCCCTGATGCCCCAGTGGGCGCGCCCCTCCGGGGGTGGCAGGAGCTACTCAAGGGCCGGGCTGAGGAAAGTGCTCTAAGGTTACCTGGCGATGGCTGCACAACTCCGAGCATGACGTAAGTCACTGAACCCTGTACTTGGGGGGTGCACTGCAGGGTACGGGAACTACCTCAGTGAGGCTGTTAGAAAGGCGCCTCCACCAGCCTCCAAACCACTATTGCCAGAGGGAGACGAGCTCTCACGGTCCTTGTCAGACCGTCAATTCTCTCTTCCTGCAACACTCGGAGGCATAACTGTCAGCCGTGGGACTATCACGACTATTCCCCTTCTGCCCCTTGTGTCTGATAGTTACCCCTTGTTCTCCCCCCGCCCCCCACCTCTAATGCCCACGGTCCCGGGGTAGTAAGGCCTCCTCCCAGACCTCCCTGGCTCCTTTTACTTTGTTGACTTTTTAGAGGGAAGGGGAGAGAGAGGGAAACACTGATTTGTTGTCCCACTTATAGATGCATCATTGTGTGTGCCCTGCCCAGGGATCGAACCCGCACCTCGGCTCGGCAGGACGAGTTCTAACCAACGAGCCGCCCGGCCAGGCCCCTAGCTCCTTCTTTAGGTCATGTCTCATCATGGTACATACCACATTCTTATTACATAGTATTTCAGTGTTTTGTCTTCCCCCACTTGATCTGTGAGGGCAAAAAGTCTTTGTACATTTTGCACCCAGCTGTATCCTCAGCATCTAAAACAGTGCCTGGCACATTAGTAACTGCTCAGTTAACGTTAATCAAATGAGTGCTACATCCCCAACGTACTACGACATTCCTCGCTATACCACAATTCTATTGGTTTGGTAACTTAAAAATATATTGGGATTTTTATTGGACCACCACTGAATTTACATATTTAACGTGGGGAGAAATATCTTTACCAGACTGAGTCTTTCTGTACAGAGACATGTCTAGCTTTAAAAAATAAGTTTAGCCCGGCCAAGCGTAGCTCAACGGTTGAGCATCAACCTGGGATCCAGGCGATTGGGGTTCGATTCCTGGTCAGGGCACATGCCCAGGTTGTGGGCTCGATCAATGACTCTCTCATCATTGATGTTTCTCTCTCTCTCTCCCCCCCTCCTTTCCTCTCTCTGAAATCAATAAAGATATATTAAAAAAATAAGTTTACATTTTAACATATACATGTATAAGCTAATTGCAGCATATATTTTTCTGTTTCAGTCTCATGGGAAGCTTTGTATTTATTTTACGCTCTAGAACAACATAAATATCTCAGGAATCGTCTGTGGTGCGTTTCCACAGGTCAGCGTTGAGCTACCTTTCTCAGTTTACTTCATGGCTATGAACCCATTTGAGTTTTCCAACTTGTCTATTGACTTGTTTTTAATACTGTCCCCTGGCTAGTCCTACATTCTACCAAATGCTTTTGTCCTAATTGGCCTATTCTCACTTCTAAGTGCCAGGTGAGGAGGGTTCCTCATCAGCAATGCTGTGCTTTCATATTTGTTCACGGAGGGAGCAATAAGCCACCATGTTACCTTGTGTATCCAGAATCTTTCAACTCTGGTTGTGTTCACTTTTCATACCTACAGGCAGAGTAAAGAGTCCTCTGTTTGCTCTTGAAATCTGCAGGTTTCTTAATCTGACCTTAATCTGGTTCATTTTACTTGCAGCTGAACATAACTGTAAGGCAACGTTTACATTAATGGCACTAATTATGTGCATTATTTAACAGTCTTCAAAACATGTTTTGAATGGAAAAGTAACATGAGTAGATTTTTATTTTCAAAAGATTAAGCTGGCCAGTATTAAAACTATGCACTTGAGGGGAGCAAGAGGGAAAATGGCTATAATGCTATTGCAAAAATCTTGGACTATGACGATGGGTCATGTAATGGGAAAGAGTAGATGGATTCTAGAGGTAGTTAGGAGACTGAATCTAGAGGACCTGGTGGTATGGGAGCGAGGAGGGAAGGACTGAAGATGGCTCTCCAGTATGAATTCGCTGATGATGAGCGAGATGTACACTCTGCCTGAAGGCTTTTCCGCATTCTTTACATCCATAGGGCCTTTCTCCAGTGTGGATTCTCCTGTGTAGCGTAAGATGGGCAACCTGGCTGAAGGCTTTGCTACATTCCTGACACTCGTAAGGTTTCTCTCCTGTATGAATTCTTTGATGCAGAGTAAGGGATTTACGGTGGCTAAAGGCCTTTCCACATACATTACATTCATAAGGTTTCTCACCGGTATGGCACCTTTGGTGACAACTCAGGGACGCCTTCTGTCTGAATGCCTTTCCACATTCGAGGCACTCGTATGGTCTTTTTCCAGTGTGGAGTCTCTGATGTTGGACGAGATAGGAGCCGTCGCTGAAGGCCTTCCCACAGGCAGTACATTCATAAGGCTTCTCGCCAGTGTGGACCCTCTGGTGTTGGACAAGGTGTGCGACTTGGCTGAAGGCTTTCCCGCACTCCTTGCATTCATGAGGTTTCTCTCCAGTGTGTATTTTCCGATGCTGTGCAAGGTGTGCGTTCTGGCTGAAGGCTTCGTTGCACTCCTTACATTCGTAAGGTTTCTCGCCAGTGTGGACTCTCTGATGATGAGAGAGGTGTGTGCTCTGTCTAAAGGCTTTCCCACATTCCTTACACTCATAAGGTTTCTCTCCGGTGTGAACTCTCTGATGAAGAGTAAGCGAGCCGCGATGGCTGAAGGCCTTCTCACAGAGCGCACATCCATAAGGCTTCTCGCCTGTGTGAATCCTCTGATGGACAGTCAGGGATGAGCCATGGCTGAACGCCTTCCCACACACGTTACATTTGTAAGGTCTCTCTCCAGTATGAATTCTCTTATGCTGAATAAGTCCTATGTGATCTGTGAAAGCCTTCCCACAATCGATACAGTCAAAGGGTTTCTCTCCCGTGTGATAATATCGCCGATGACGTATAAGAGAAGCATTCTGCCTGAAGGCTTTCCCACAGTCGACACATTCATAGGGTCTTTTTCCAGTGTGAATTCTTCGGTGATGGGCCAGGGATGAACAATCGCTAAAGGCCTTCCCACACTCAATGCATTCATAGGGTTTCTCTCCAGTATGGACCCTCTGATGCTGCGCGAGGTGTGCAAGCTGGCTGAAGGCTTTAGTGCACTGCTTACACTGATACGGTTTCTCTCCAGTGTGAACTCTCTGGTGTTGAACGAGGTGAGCATTCTGGCTGAAGGCTTTCCCACACTCAGTACATTCAAAGGGTTTTTCTCCCGTGTGTATTCTCTGATGCTGAGCTAGGTGGGCACTCTGGCTGAAGGCTTTTCCACACTCGGCACATTCGTAGGGTTTCTCTCCAGTATGAATTCTTTGATGAAGAGTAAGGGTTGAGAATTTGCTGAAAGTTTTCTCACAGTCTTTACATTTCAGAAGTTTCTTTTCTCCATAGATTTGCTTGTATTTTTTCACAAATGAATATGTTTTTAAGCTTTCCTTATCTGTGCCAAAATTGTATATTCTCTCTTCAATGGGAAATATGTGTTTTATATAAGATAATGTATTCAGATGAAAAACTGTCCCAGATTTGTCAGAGTGGTCATTTTTTTCAATAAGTGCATCTAGAGGACTGACTGTCTCTTGCCTAAAATGTGGCTTCTGACTTACCAGCTCCCTCTCAAACAGGTCTTCACCTTTCCACTTTTTCCCTAATGTGGAACATTCAAGTTTATCACAGCTTGTAAGTCTTTCCATTATCATTACCTGGGATAATTTTTCTTCATAAATGTCCTGCTTTAGAGATAATTCTTTGGTCATCCACACATACTCCAAGTCTGAAAGACATTAAGAAAGCAAATGTCTACTTTAATGCTAGCAGAACAGAAACTTCCCAAATGAAACCAGGTGAATCAAACAGTTACTGAGCCCACAGAGGTTAATGTTTCTGACAGTTCTTAGATGAAGTTAGGCACTGCAACCTAATTGGACATTTCTGGAATGAAGCCTCCTTGGCTACAGTATATTATTTTAAGATGACTTTTAAGACTTTATACCAATATCCATAATTGAGATTTGTCTGTAATTTCCTTTTTGGGTGCTATTTTGGTAAGATAAATGGCAACATTTGTTATAAAATGTTATGCTGTCTTTATAAACATATTTTTTTAAAGTTCTTTTTATTCGCTGTCACAAAACATTTTAACCAACGTTGATGATATTTTTTCTTAAAGACTTTATAGGATTTAGAGAGAGAAGAAAGGCGGTTGGGGGAGAGAGGGAGAGGGAGAACATCTATTTGTTGTTCCACTTATGTCTGCGTCGTTCATTGATTGATTCTTGTATGTGCCCTGACTGGGGATTGAACCCACAACCTTGGTGTATGGGGTCGATGTTCTAACCCACTGAGCCACCCGGCTGGGGCAACAATCCTCTGCTTGGAAATATGAGACCTGAAAGCAGGAAAAGGCCACACTACAGCCACAGAACAAACGGAAACCACCTCACAGAAGCTCATTTCCCTGCAATATATATCTATACTCTGTTAACTGGTTTTCTAAACAGCTTTCACACAAGGCATGGAAAAATACTTATTTAAGTGTGAAGAAAATAAACTGGGCCAGAAAGCCCAACGACTACAATAAAAGTGGGAGATGATAAAGAAGCCGGGAGGCAACGTTAGTGAGCTAATTTCTTCATCTTTCATATGGGTATCAAAGGATGACGTTCTGAGTTTCAAGTGGATAAAGTTTAAAATACAGATTTGAAAATATATAAAGACATAAAAGTAACAACCTTGGGATTAAGAACCTTTCCAATTCAAAGGGTGGGATGGTGTGGAAGGACAAATCATATGTAAACAACAAAGCAAGAAGAATTAACAACAACCAAGAAAACTGATTAAAAGCAGCAGGAAGAACACAGCTATGATACTTAGCCCAACAGACAGATTTTTTAGAAAGGGAAACGGTTTAGACCAATTCAAAAAACTAAACACAATTTGTGTAAAGAATTCAGAAATGTTGCAAGTCAGGAATGATCATAACAATGTGGTGCTTGAGCGAAACTAGGTCACCACAAGTGGCACGTAACAGTCTGGAAACAGATGGTGGGACTGGCAGGGGATCAGTGGAGGGAAGGCGGCACTCACACCACTGAGGGACAGAAGACGGACTGAAACATGAGTCGGAGGCAGGCCAGCTGGCTGGAGCGTCGTCCCCACACACCAAGGCTGCGGGTTCAATCCCTGGTCAGGGCGCAGACAAGAGTCAACCACCGATGCATAAATGAGCGGGACAGCAAACCGGTATTCCTCTCCCTCTCCCTCTCTCAAGTCAATAAATACAATTAAAAAAAAAAAATGGAGTTGGAACAAGATGTTTCAGTTTGGGAGGGATTTTGAGAGGTGTTTTCCAACAGCACTTACAGGGAAGAAACATTTTGAGAATAGGTTCCCCAGCTCTGGGAACCCTGTGCTTACCTGGGCCCAGGCCTCCTGTCGTCTCTCCATTCGTCACCCAGGGCTCTTTGCCTTGCTCCAACAAGGAGATCACGTCTGGCTTAGAAACGCAAAGACCTGCGCATGAGAAAAGAGAAGAACACCGCCTATGCTGAGGCCATTCCAGAACGAGGACCAAGTCCGAATGGCACCGGGAGAAGGGGGACGTTGTGGGAAGATGCTGATAAAGGCACGAGGGACGACGGAGGTGGAAAGGTTCCCGTGGGGAGGTGAGGGAGGCAGACACTCACCCACTGACACCAGGCTCCTGTAGTTCTCCAACATCACCTTCCTGTACAAAGCCCTCTGGGCAAGATTCAGCCATGCCCACTCCTCTCGGGAGAAGCCCACGGCCACATCAGTGAAGGTCACCACCTCCTGAAGTGACACAAACATAATCCTGCTCAGTGGTCACGTCGTCACTCAGCTGGCTCTAGGGTAAAGGATTATGCTGTTTACTTACCACGTGTGTAAGTAATTGCACTGGGGATCTAACTGATGCAGGTGTGGGAGTTGGTTACTGGACAACTTTTCTGCCTAGTTATATTGTACGTATTAGGAAAAATAAAAAATATGAGACACACTTTCTGCTCCTGGAGCTTTTACAATTCTATGAAATTTATGAGCCTTTATTTAAAAAATGTTGACTGCATTCAAAACAATATCATGAAGTATTAAATTATTTTTACCTATCGTTCGTAGCTAGACTGCCTTTCTACGTGGAGAAATTAAAGAGCTCTGGGACGGCAGGGGAACGTCTGAGGGAAGGATGCTGACCCGACGAGCGTGATCTCCATCTACGCGGCATGTTCTAAGAAACCTTGGTGTTCCTAAGAGGTTAAGAGCTGTGCCTGAACAACTGAAAGGAAAAAATGCCTAGCAACACTCATTTTGAAAAAAAATACATATTTGAATGAGAAGAGCACATTTGGAAAGTTATTTTTTGATGGTCTGCTGAGAAGTGTCAGGAGAGAGCATCTGAGGCAGGCACATGTCAAGCAGCATGTGTTTGGTTACCTGGGCTGAATTTCTGGACCAGCTAGCAAGCGATGCCCACTCATCCACTCTGGGGTTGCTGGCAAATTTTCCTTTCCTTCTTTTGTGGTTTCACTTCTACTGACATCTAAGAATAAGTTTTAAATAAGCACCAGAATAAAAGGTCAGATTAAAGAATTCAGACTCTGGTACCGAATAGCTGGGTAATCTTGGCCAAGTTAATTAACTCCCCCGTGCCTCATTGTACCGGCCTGAAAAATGGGACTAATTTTAGCACCTACTGTAGTTCTTTCTAGTCATGCCAATACTCACTTCCGGGTTTTATGGTAGGAGTTATTGGGGGGGGAGACAGATAAACATGCCACATACTTGGTGGTACTCCAGACCGCTGCTCCAGGCAGGCTGTTCTGGTTTTACAGCAGCATCAGTGGGAAAGACAGGGCGGAGTGCTCATTCCCTCTTACCCAGGACAAGGACACTCCCAAATTCGGTGTAAAGTATTATTTTTAAAAATTCATATGTCGTTGCAAATAAAAAGCCTCCTCATGTTCAGTGCTTCCTGTGCATCAAACATCATATTGTAGTTCAACTTATGTGTGTGTGTATGTGTGCATGTGCATGTATGCATGCATGTGTGTATGTGTGCATGTGCATGTATGTGTGCATGTGTGTATGTGTGCGCGAGCACGTGCATGTGTGTATGTGCATGTATGTGTGCATGTGTATGTATGTGTGCGTGAGCATGTGCATGTGTATGTATGTGTGCGTGAGCATGTGCATGTATGTGTGCATGTGCGTGAGCATGTGCATGCGCGTATGTGTGTGCATGTATATGTATGTGTGTGTGAGCGTGTGTGCACACATGCTTGAAGAACTACATGGGCATGTAGGCAAACAGCAGCATAAACAGCTAATGTTTAAATAGTACTTACTATGCACCAGGTACTGCTCTAAACACTGATGACATATGAACTCATTAATCCTCACAACAGTCCATAAATTCGCACTATGACCCCTCCCACCTTACAGCTGAGGACGCTGGGATTAGGGTGACACATCCGGTGGATCTAGCGTTTGAACCCAGGCAGTCTGGCTCCAGAGTCCACGTTACCAACCTTCATGCCATACTCTGCCACGCTTAAAATCCTTTCCTCTGACAACAATCATGCTTTTACTTAGAATGTTCAAACGTGCTAAGAAACAAGTTCCATTGGTGCTGCGTTGTATCTGGTAAGGAAAGGTGTTGGGCTACGACAGAAGTCGCTTGCTGTGTCTCTGATATAAGATACAGCAGTTTCACTGCCCTAGGTGAACTCCGACTCCTCCGTCTCCTCAGGAAGCAACTCAGGAGTCGCTTCCTCTGCGATTCAAGTCCTCCCACCCTCTCCCCAAGGAGGCAAAATGGAGTTAAAGTGAAGCAGATTTCCTCTTGCCAGACTGTGACCTGTCACAGAGCTTCAGCAGTCCAGAGGAAGGGGCACCTTTTTCCAAGGCACCCAAAGGTGCTTACATGGGCTATTAATGACCCCTGCCCACGGCTCCACAGGAGCCACTCTCCGCGGGCAGCACTAGTCACGCTGTAGGCATAAATGTTTGCTGCCTTTTCGTTTCTCCAACAGGCTGCAAGCCCTCTGAGCGCCAGCCAGGATGGGGTCGTGGGAACTAGGTAGGCTGTGGCTCCTAAATTTCCTTAAGGACTGTATTTCTGGGTAGTCATAGGCTCACACAAAGGCTGAGTGCAGGGAAGGGCTCCGGTGCGTCATTTCTCTTTTCTTTTTTTAAAAAATATGTCTATTGATTTCAGAGAGGAAGGGAGAGATAGAAACATCCTGATGAGAGTCGCTGGTCAGCCGCCTCCTGCCCCCCGCTGGGGATCGAGCCCACAACCTGGGCATGTACCCTGACCGGGAATCGAACCCGGATCGCCTGGATCCTAGTTTGACACTCAACCCCTGAGCCCCACCCGGCCGGGCAGGCGGGTCGTTTCTTGAATGAACAATAATCACCAAGTAGACAGAAGCAGCAGCTCTGAGACGATGCTGGGCCGCCTGAGCCTGTCCCTGCGACCCCACCTCTCATCAGGAAGGGAGGAGACAGGACCCAGGGCCCGGGGTGGAGCTTCTAGGCGGACACCTTTCAGAAGGCAGCAAACATTACCAAACCCTGAGAAGCAAAGCTGTGTGTGCGGGGCAGAGGGGTACACGGACTCACCCGGGACACGGCTTCAAGAAGTTCAACGCCCGTCGCCGCCGCCGCCTGGCTCCTCATCTGAGGGCTTTACCGAGGGCCGAGCTGGGAGGAGAAAGGCGCGTGGGAGGCTGAGCTGGGAGAAGCACAGGCCTTCAGCTCCCTGTTTTGTGTTTTTTTAAAATATATCTTTATTGGTTTCAGAGAGAGGAAAGGCGAGGGAGAGAGAGAGAGAAACATCAATGATGAGAGTCACTGATCGAGCCCGCACCCGGGCCTGAGCCCCGACCGGGAATCGAACCCCGACCGCCTGGGTCCCAGGTGGACGCTCAGCCGCTGAGCCGCCGCCGGGCTCCGTTTCCACTCTCACGCCCCCGCAGCCTCCCGCGGCCCAGGCGCCGCCAGGCCACCTCGCCGTCACCCTGGAGCTCCGCCCACTCGGGGGTCGGGCTGAGCCCCCCCCCCCTCTCAGAGCCACCCCTTCATCGTCCACAACAGATGTGGGGCCGCACACATCAGCCCTCTGACCCGGCGGCGGGGCTCGGCGGGTGAGCCTCCACCTGGGACCCAGGCGGTCGGGGTTCGATTCCGGCGGGGCTCAGGCCCGGGCGCGGGCTCGATCGGTGACTCTCATCACTGATGCTTCCGTCTCTCTCCCCCTCTCCCTTCCTCTCTCTGAGATCAATAAGGATATATTAAAAATAAAAATTAAAAACACACAACGCGCGGCCACGGCGGGGTGGCCTTGTGGGCGGGCGCCGTCCGCTCGGCCCGGTCCCGCGGGGGGGACCAGGCGCTGACCGCACAAGAGAGCGGGACAGCACGCGCCGCTCCGCGCTCTCTAAAAATAATAACAAATGAAAGGGGAAAAGCCCAGAGGGGTTTGGGGTCTCACCCTTTTCTTGTTAAGCCTCGCAGGGGGTTTTCCCGCGCGCTCCAGGGAGGGAGGGGGGAANCCCCCTATGGAGCACGGCCTGCAGGGCGCCTGGGGCTCCCCAGGAGGGTCCCTCTACAGCAGCTCATCGGGAACAGCGCCCCCTATGGAGCACGGCCTGCAGGGCGCCTGGGGCTCCCCAGGAGGGTCCCTCTACAGCAGCTCATCGGGAACAGCGCCCCCTATGGAGCACGGCCTGCAGGGCGCCTGGGGCTCCCCAGGAGGGTCCCTCTACAGCAGCTCATCGGGAACAGCGCCCCCTATGGAGCACGGCCTGCAGGGCGCCTGGGGCTCCCCAGGAGGGTCCCTCTACAGCAGCTCATCGGGAACAGCGCCCCCTATGGAGCACGGCCTGCAGGGCGCCTGGGGCTCCCCAGGAGGGTCCCTCTACAGCAGCTCATCGGGAACAGCGCCCCCTATGGAGCACGGCCTGCAGGGCGCCTGGGGCTCCCCAGGAGGGTCCCTCTACAGCAGCTCATCGGGAACAGCGCCCCCTATGGAGCACGGCCTGCAGGGCGCCTGGGGCTCCCCAGGAGGGTCCCTCTACAGCAGCTCATCGGGAACAGCGCCCCCTATGGAGCACGGCCTGCAGGGCGCCTGGGGCTCCCCAGGAGGGTCCCTCTACAGCAGCTCATCGGGAACAGCGCCCCCTATGGAGCACGGCCTGCAGGGCGCCTGGGGCTCCCCAGGAGGGTCCCTCTACAGCAGCTCATCGGGAACAGCGCCCCCTATGGAGCACGGCCTGCAGGGCGCCTGGGGCTCCCCAGGAGGGTCCCTCTACAGCAGCTCATCGGGAACAGCGCCCCCTATGGAGCACGGCCTGCAGGGCGCCTGGGGCTCCCCAGGAGGGTCCCTCTACAGCAGCTCATCGGGAACAGCGCCCCCTATGGAGCACGGCCTGCAGGGCGCCTGGGGCTCCCCAGGAGGGTCCCTCTACAGCAGCTCATCGGGAACAGCGCCCCCTATGGAGCACGGCCTGCAGGGCGCCTGGGGCTCCCCAGGAGGGTCCCTCTACAGCAGCTCATCGGGAACAGCGCCCCCTATGGAGCACGGCCTGCAGGGCGCCTGGGGCTCCCCAGGAGGGTCCCTCTACAGCAGCTCATCGGGAACAGCGCCCCCTATGGAGCACGGCCTGCAGGGCGCCTGGGGCTCCCCAGGAGGGTCCCTCTACAGCAGCTCATCGGGAACAGCGCCCCCTATGGAGCACGGCCTGCAGGGCGCCTGGGGCTCCCCAGGAGGGTCCCTCTACAGCAGCTCATCGGGAACAGCGCCCCCTATGGAGCACGGCCTGCAGGGCGCCTGGGGCTCCCCAGGAGGGTCCCTCTACAGCAGCTCATCGGGAACAGCGCCCCCTATGGAGCACGGCCTGCAGGGCGCCTGGGGCTCCCCAGGAGGGTCCCTCTACAGCAGCTCATCGGGAACAGCGCCCCCTATGGAGCACGGCCTGCAGGGCGCCTGGGGCTCCCCAGGAGGGTCCCTCTACAGCAGCTCATCGGGAACAGCGCCCCCTATGGAGCACGGCCTGCAGGGCGCCTGGGGCTCCCCAGGAGGGTCCCTCTACAGCAGCTCATCGGGAACAGCGCCCCCTATGGAGCACGGCCTGCAGGGCGCCTGGGGCTCCCCAGGAGGGTCCCTCTACAGCAGCTCATCGGGAACAGCGCCCCCTATGGAGCACGGCCTGCAGGGCGCCTGGGGCTCCCCAGGAGGGTCCCTCTACAGCAGCTCATCGGGAACAGCGCCCCCTATGGAGCACGGCCTGCAGGGCGCCTGGGGCTCCCCAGGAGGGTCCCTCTACAGCAGCTCATCGGGAACAGCGCCCCCTATGGAGCACGGCCTGCAGGGCGCCTGGGGCTCCCCAGGAGGGTCCCTCTACAGCAGCTCATCGGGAACAGCGCCCCCTATGGAGCACGGCCTGCAGGGCGCCTGGGGCTCCCCAGGAGGGTCCCTCTACAGCAGCTCATCGGGAACAGCGCCCCCTATGGAGCACGGCCTGCAGGGCGCCTGGGGCTCCCCAGGAGGGTCCCTCTACAGCAGCTCATCGGGAACAGCGCCCCCTATGGAGCACGGCCTGCAGGGCGCCTGGGGCTCCCCAGGAGGGTCCCTCTACAGCAGCTCATCGGGAACAGCGCCCCCTATGGAGCACGGCCTGCAGGGCGCCTGGGGCTCCCCAGGAGGGTCCCTCTACAGCAGCTCATCGGGAACAGCGCCCCCTATGGAGCACGGCCTGCAGGGCGCCTGGGGCTCCCCAGGAGGGTCCCTCTACAGCAGCTCATCGGGAACAGCGCCCCCTATGGAGCACGGCCTGCAGGGCGCCTGGGGCTCCCCAGGAGGGTCCCTCTACAGCAGCTCATTGGGAACAGCGCCCCCTATGGAGCACGGCCTGCAGGGCGCCTGGGGCTCCCCGAGGAGGGTCTCTACAGAAGCGTGTCCCGGGCGGTCTGATCTCTCATCTCATCGTAGATTTGCTTGTAAGCAGACAGCGCACCATGAACATTCCTCTCTATTAATGCAAACCTTTCGGGGTCGGGGTCCAGGTTTTCAAACGTTGTAAGGGGCCCGCTGAGGTCTGCGGAAGCTGCTGCTAAACCCCTCACTGTGAGTTTTCTTGAGGGTCCTTCTGTTTCTTCTGCAGTTGTCTTTTCTCCTGCCTCCTCTTCAGCCGTTCGTGCCTGTTCGGTCCCAACCCCCAGCGTTAGTCAGTCCCCCGGGAACCCGGCCCAGGAGCTCCTCACCGCCGCCCTCCCCCCGCCCAGTCACAGTTGTTGACCATCTCAACCACGGCCCTGCTGATTTTTGCAGTCCCCTCACCCTTGGCAAGTTCTCTGAAGTCCTGGACAAACCTCTTGAGTGTCTGCTTCCAGATGCCGCATACACTCCCTGGTGCCATCACCCCAAGCGCAAGCAAGGTTCTTGATGCAGCCAGAGACGGAATCGTCCCAGAACTGCATCAGCGTCTTCTCAGCGTTTTCCTCAACTGCAGCAACAGCCTGGGCAAAAGCCCTCCTCAGGTATTTGGCGTTAAAAGCTGCTATAACTCCTTGATCCACTGGTTGGATCAAAGAGGTGGTGTTCAGAGGTAGAAACACCACTTTGATGGGGCGAAGACCACCAATAAGAGGATGTCCAGGAGCATTACCAACATCGAGCAGAATCCTGAATGGTAAGCTGTTCTCCAGATAGTACTTCATTTCACTGGCGGAGCAGTTCAGGAGGGCATCTTGGAAGAGGAGCTGGGTCTTCCCTAACTTCTTATTGCTGCTGTAGTACACTGGCAGCCTGTGCTTACTCATGTGCTTCAAGGCCCTGGGATTCCCACTCTGCCAGATCACAAAAGGTTTCAATTTGTGGCCTGCAACACTGCCCCCAAGCAAGACTGTTATCCTGTCCCTAAAAGCCTTGAAACCCGGTGTCAGTGTGGCCTCCTTATGGATGAAAGTCCTCTCAGGCATCCGTTTCCAGAATAGCAAAGTTTTATCCATATTGAATATTTGCTCTGGCAAGTACTTTTCCTCCACGACCAGCTGATCTAGAGTTTCCAAAAATTCTTCAGCTGCCTTTGTTAGCACTTGCCCACTCATGACTCACTTTCACATTATGTAATGAATAGTGGTTCTTGAATCTTTTAAACCACCCAGAGCTTGCAGTAAATTCAGCATTGTAGTCAGGTCCAGCCCTTGCTTTCAACATTGCAAACCAACCTTTTGCTTTGGCCGTGATCATCATGGTGCTGAGAGGGCTACACTTCTGTGCCAAGCTTCAACTAGGAGCTTCTCCATGTCGGATATGGGCCCTTCTCAGGTTTTTGTTAGTCTCGTTGCTTTCAATGAAGCAGATCCTTTGATAGCATCCATCACTTTGTTCCTATTCTTCAAGATGGTAGCTATGGTGGAGTGGGACATGTCCGACTGCCAGGCAGTCCCCATCACTGAATTCCCACCTTCATAGTCCTTAATCACTTTTAACTTCGTTTCCAGGTCAGTCACTCAACGTGGCCTCTTACTGGGAACACCAGCAGTGGATTTGGTACACTTAGGGGCTATGATGAACACAACACAACACAAGATTAAATGAAGTGCAGAAGAAAAGACATACAGTGAGGATGAGGCTGCTCCGGCACAACATAGCGTACTGTCTTACAGCAAACATTGTTGTAACAACATTGAAAAAGTATACCCTAAGTGGACAATAAAAAGTATACCCTAAGTGGACAATAAAAAGTATAGTAAATACGTAAACAGTATTATAGTTACTTAGTATCAT